CAGCTTGACTGCGGGTCCTTAGGTTCTCATTAGAAGTCTCTTTGAAAGACTCCCAGATTGAAATTCATTTCTGTTTTTTAGAAGCCACTTAAATTTCAGAGTTAAAATCCTGTACAAATATCCTAAAATTTAGCAATTTTAACGTGTTCTCATTACCTCTGTCTTTTGATGTGAAATAAAAAGCTCCAGTCTGTTTTCACAGATCCTTATTATTCTCTTGTGGTAGACTTCTAGAGTTGTCTTAAACGTAGGAATGTGATATTTCATCATTACATTTAGTTATGCACATTCTAGAACATAGACTCAGGGTATTAGTCTTTGATACCTGCCGTCCGAACTATTTCAGGTATGGGCTGTTTCCCGATGATTGGTGCAGGTAGCCAAGGAAACAGAATCAGGAAGCCAGGGTCACTGGGGAGCCCCGACCTGCCCGCAGGGTCTGCTTTCAACTGTAAAGGTTTTAATGCCAGTTATTGACTCATGTTCCTCAAGTGTAAGATACTGCATCATTAATCTGTAGTTTCGTCTCTGAAAGCTCTAAATTGAACATTTGCATTGTCTTAATTTTCCATAACCTTTAATGACGTTTGTGAAAGAACGTGGGAAAGAAGTTGCTGTTGGCTGTATGACAGATGCATTCTAGGAATATTTTACGGAAGCTCCTCTTTCTGTTTCACTTCAGAGCAGTCCCTGGAAAGACAGCATGTCTAAGACATCCAGAACTCTTTGTCTAACTCCAGGGACATGAACTCAAAGGCTTGGATGCCAGCATGGGTCATCCAAGGAGGACCCTGACCCAGGTTTCCCTTGTCTGTCTCACTCAGACCTCTTTTACTTCAACATGGTGCTTCCCGCAGCAATGGGCGACGCTCACATATTTGAACTCAAAAAATGATGCCAAGAAAGGACAGACTTGAAACGTACTTTTCCTTGTATCAATCCAGGGTCCTTAAATGACCTGGCTACTCACCTGGCTTTGACCAATCAGAGGCAAGATGTATCCCTGGAAGCAAAGGGCCTGCCGCGGGCAGTGAGACCAGGAGCCGCACCTTGTTCACGGTTCACAGAAGTGCCAAGGCCATGGTTCCCAGACTCGGAGAGTTACGGGTCACCCACAGTACTTTCAACCACCTCATTATGTTGTTACATAATAACTGAATGCCTTACTGTGTTTTATATAAGATCAGATAACAAGATATGTCTATGATATTGTACATGTATCTAATGCTGTATAATAATAAGAATGGCTGCCTTATTTAATATCCAGTCAGGAACAGGCTCCACAAGAAGAGGTAATGTACATATTACTTGTAATTGTCATGCAATCCTAACAAAAAGTCGACATTCGACATAGTTTATACAGATCAAGAAATGTTAGAGCAGAGAAGTTAAATGATTTTCTGAATGTCACATCTCTTCTGGGTTCAAAATATTACTCTTAAATTTGTCTGTTGTTAATTATGCCCTAAGTAAATACTTTACAATATTAGTCATAAATAAAAACACAAAGTTACCCTCAAGAAGGGGTGCTTGTAAGATTTTGCACCTCTGCGAGGGTGGATGAGTCAGTGCCCTGAGTGCCATTCATTCACCCCTGCCTTGTTATTTCCAACGGGTCACCCGAAAGACTAGAAGGCTGGGGCTCCCCATCCAGGCAAGTGCTAAAATGCTCACCCAGCTCCCTGGCTTCTCAGCACCTACTGTTCATCCCAGAGGTAATTCATGTAACATCAAGAGAGGACAAGATTCTAAAAATATCAGACGGTAGCATTAGCTAAAGTTTGTGCTTTGAGGGGAACAGGCAGAGGGGCAGGATCATTGTATTTGAAACAATACCCCCACTTTTAAAGTTATATCTTGTTTCATTCTAAAAATAATTTTCTAGTGGGACTTAAATATATTTGAACTTGACTTTAACAAGACATTGATTTACATATTTGACAACTAGAGAAAAGAGGATATATAGAAATGTGCAAAACTCAAATACATTAAAATTTAGGATGAGTTTTTTCCTAATGCTGCATACTGTAAATTTCTAAGATACTTTCAGTTGCAAATAATTATATCTATTATTGAAGACACTGGCTTAAATAAAATGTGTATATGGTATTGTGAGCATAGATAAAACTTCTATAATCATAAAGCAGAGTTTATTCAAACCCTATGAAGGCTCAGCATTTTCCTAGTGAGAATGCAACACTGGAAATCCAGTGACAGGCTTCTTGGGCAGAATTGGATATATGGTAGCCCAGCCACTTTGAAGAATAGTTGTTAGTTTCTGTAGTTAGAACACTCCAAGTTTCTAATGGGACCCTCTGGAAACACGGAAATCTGGCATTGTAGTGACAGGTTTCTAAGGTAAGTAGAAAATGAGGCTGAAACTGATGTTTTCCTCCTGAAATGTCAGAAAAATATTAAGCATAAAATAGTCTGTAGAAATTCTGATGAGTGTATATAGAAATGTTGCAAAAGAATTAAGGACTATAGTATCGACTGCAAATTTTCTCCATGGATAGCATCCCAACAGGGATATGATTCCAAAACCAGCCTCTCCTGCGTCTTTAGGTATTTGAACATTTGTGAGTGCAAGAGTTAAAGAAAAACCATAACGAGGAAGCAGTAGAAACCAACTGTTTTGTTAATAGTCTAGAGTGCCCAATGAGATTTATCTGTCTCTGTTGGCAGCTATATTTATCTTTTTTATAGGTTTCCTTGAGGATAAGGGAGATTCTAATTGTCTTTTGAACATCACTGATTTTATTCTTCTATACAAAGACACAAAATGATGCTTAGATTTTAGTTCCAGATTTTACTGTGAGACAACAAAAGCACTAATTTAGTGTTGTAGCAGCTACATACCCCTGGATCCTCCACCAGTGGAGGGGAGAGCATTAAGGCACATCTTCCATGAGTATCAAATACAGAGTAAGTATTTCTACCAGGGGAAAGCACAGAGGCAACTTTTACAGCCATGAAATGGAAATGGTGGACAAATCATCCATTTCTGTGAGGACTCCTGAGGAAATACTTGTGAATCATTCACAGCAAAAGCTTTGCTCCCTAGCTCTTCCGTTTCTTTAACATGTCTGTATCTCGATCTCCTTGCTCATCTCCTTCTGTTTCATTTCTCTCTCTCATCTCCACTTCTGTCTCTAGCACCTCTATGCCTGTCTCTAGTATCTCTATTGCTAGCATTTCAACCTGTGTCTCTATCTCCCTCAAGGATAATGTTTTTCATACTATTCACTGAACTCTTTACTTAGTATACAGTTAATCCTAGGTGCATAAAGTTAATTTAAAATAGATCTTAGTAAAAAATAAGAATGGGAATAGAAGAGGGAGGAGGAAGAGGGGTGAGGGTGGGGGTAGGAGAGAGGGTAGGGTGGGAAGAATCACTATGTTCCTAAATTTGTATGTATGAAATGTATGTTTGTAGACTGTAAATAAAATATTTCTAGCTGAAAACAATAACCTTGAGCAGTGGCAGGAAATCAGAATTGCATGGAAAAATAAATAGATGAATACAATGAATGAACTTAAGAGTTTCTATTATGAACCTGAATTAAACAATGTGCACATATAGAGTTATTCTATAACACCATGGATAGCCGATGCTGCTGTATGGTAAAAGCATGAATTACAAATGAAGAATATTTAAATAAGTATTTTCCACAGAATGGGAATGCCATTAATAATACATTAAATTTGAAAAAAAAAAAAAAAGAGACGCAACTACTAAAGCCTAGTTTTTACTTTGCTCAAAGAGTAACCACCTTGCCTAAATGTTCACATTCAGATAATGTGGAATGGATATCAACGTCTCCCAGCCCCCATCACAAGCATTCTGAAGCTCCCATAACCCCAGTTTGATCTCTTTTTACTAAATATGCATAATATTAAACATCAGTGTAGATCAGTATGGAAAGACAATTAAAGATCTTCTGAGAAATCCCTGGTTTCCCAAATAACCTAGGCTTACAGTCTTGAAGTAGATTTGATAGCAGTTATGTAAATACACCTAATGTCAAACATAGTGATGCCAAAGGGCTTATTTATGATGGCAACTGCCACACACTCAGCTTCTTGTTTGTTTTTTTCTGTATGTTCAACCGGATCATGAGGTAACATTTTCATGCAGTTTCCCACTTACCTACTAATTTGCTTACATGACTGTCAGAAATAAATAGGTTGTCAGAAATAAATAGGTTAAATGTTGACCTTGTGCCACATATGTGAAGTATGAAATTTCAAAGTCAGCACCACAAAAGAAAATCAGGTTCACTAACTTCAAGACAATCACACTCTTAATGAGCAGATAGATGTGTACTCACTGCCTGCCAGACATCACCAACCTCTGCTAGCTCATACGTTTGTTAGGGAGACATAGGCTCATCTGAGTTCAAAGCTTATAGAATAATATATTTTAAAAATAAATAGATCAGCATACATAGTTGTAGTCAGTACTTACCCTCAACAAAATGACAAGTTCTTAAATAATTAGTAACTATAAAAAAAATTATATTCCTATTTTTTTAGAATAGGAGAACATATATTAAAACTGTTCCAAGTGCTTACCAGATTTTAATAACAGTGCTTTAAAAAAAACTTCATCTTAAAGCAATCAAAAAAGATTGATTTTTTAACAGGAAGTATCTAAAGGTAGAATTACCACTAAGAAAAAGAACTAAAAACCTACTAATATATTCAACAGACTATTAAACAAAACTTTACAATTTAATTATTGGAAACTTATAGAACTGCTTCAGTGCTTCTGAACTGAGTACAAAGCTGTACATGTGAGAACTAATAAGTGAAATTGTTAATTTTACTGTTTCCCCAGGGAGTAGCAGGGGAAGGAGTGGGAGTCTACTACTTAGATCTCCAAATGGGCGGTGGTTTAAATGCAAGGATAAATCCTGAAAGTGTTGCTAATTAACTATTTCAAACCACTCCTCCCTTTTTAGAGCACAGAAAACAACTTGATTCCTGGGATAACTCACCATTCATATTCTTAAAGATGTTCATGATGGGGAGGATTTGACGGTAGTAGGGTACCAAAGCCTCACCCACCATCTCAGCCGACACGACCAGATGCTGGAGGACTTTGAGTGTGACACAGATGACCTGTCGATTTCGGAGGTTCAAGGCGTCTAGACAGGAGGAGAGGGGCCAAGCAGAAAAGACAAAGCATTCATTCAGTGTTAAGGGGAAGCTCTCCTGTGGACACATTTAATCAAAACTGCACAGCTGGGGATAGCCAATGGGGCTTTATTACTGCGGCTTTGGTGCCACATTTGCAGTCCCAAAGCTACAAACAGGATCTTGGTTGATTACTACTGATTCTATCATTTGTGTTGGTTCCTCACCCACCCTATGAATGCCGCTCATGTCTATTCCTAGAAGTGTTTGGTGGCCTTGGATAGAAGGAAGTTGGTGGGATGGGAGACAGAAGGTTACTCAGTGTCACTGTAGTTGAGGGAGTGTCTGAGGTTAACAGCAGACACACATTTTTATGCAACCTTCTCCTTCAGTTAGCAACTCATGCTATTCTTAAAGTCGTTCCCAGCAAACAAACATCAACAAGGCACCTCAAAACAATATGGAAAATGGAATTTAAAGTAAGTTTACTTTGGTGCAAAAATAGTTGAAATCCATGCATAGTTTCTGCGTACTATGCATTTATCATGAACTTTTTGAAGGATCCACATATTTAGGAAGGAGGCAGAGCACAGCTAATGTGGAGAGGAACTGTAGGATGATTACAGACACTGAGAATATTCTCAGTGGACATGAACATACAGTGACTCTGTTTAGACTCAGGAGAGTAGAGAAACAAAGCTAAACTTTTCTTTTCTTTTTTTTTTTTTAGAATTATTTTATTTATTTTAAAGAGTTACAGAGAGAGAGGGAGAGGTCTTCCATTCCGCTGGTTCACTCCCAAATGACCGCAATGGCCAGAGCTGAGCTGATCCGAAGCCAGGAGCCAGGAGCTTCCTCCTGGTCTCCCACGTGGGTGCAGGGACCCAGGCACTTGGGCCATCCTCCACTGCTTTCCCAAGCCATAGTAGAGAGCTGGATTGGAAGAGGAGCAGTCAGGACTCGAACTGGCACCCATTTGGGATGCCAGTGCTGCAGGCTGGGGCTTTAACCCACTGCGCTACAGCGCTGGCCCCCAAACTTTTCAATGCCCACTTAGAAGGAATCAATTATAATATGTTATAGGAGATGAAAGGAATACAGAACAGTTCAAAAGGAAAGTTCTTAGAGCGAAGTAGCAAGTTGCACTACAGCAATAGGACAAGAGACAGGGAAATGTCTGGGGCCCCACCCCCACCCCGCCCCCATCGGCAGTCCCGGAAAGGTGCCACGCGCTGCTGGCGGGTGGGGTGGGGGATGGGGGATGCAGAGGCTGAGGCATCAGGACACTGTGAACTTGGTCAACTCACTCACCTTCTTGTCCCTGCTTTCCTCAGTCATGGGAACCCGTTATTTACTTTCAAGGCTGACTTAAAGTTCTGGGATTTAAATAGAAAAATGAAAGAGTGATGCCCCAGCTATTTCAAGAAGTCCAGGCTCTCGTTTCTAAGGTGTTCTACCTTCAGATGAAGGAGGCTGACTGTGACCTGAAAGCACGTTCTGATTTTGGAAGGGGTGAAAGCAGCAAGGGTATTACAGGGGATGGTGCTCCAGCCAGTACAACCTCCACTTCCAACAGAACCCCACCTCCAACTTCCAATAGCCTTGATCTTGCTAGCACTTTAAATTCAGCCTGTGTTCCAAAGACAAATTTCCACTGAAGACCTCCTCTCGTTGCTTATGTCACTCATATTTACTAATGCCACGCCAGTGCCCACTCAGTCTCACACGTACTCCTCACTCCACATTTCTCATGCTGCAAAGTCTTGGGTTCTGCGCTGTAGTACCTTCATTTTTGTCTCTAAATCTTTGCTCACCTGCACTCCCCTGTTCTGGGTGTGCACCCTCACCTCTACTGCCCTGGTCTGGTCTTGGAGTCCTACCACTGCACCACTACAGGCCCCTCAGCACTCCTCTTTGTTTTCTGTCTTTGCTCCCCAAACCTGTCTTTTCTCACTGCTACAGACTCACTTTCCTGGAGTTGTCGGCTCATTCCCCCACCCCCATCTACTGAAAGAGTCCACAACTTCTCCTAGAGAGAGCAAAGTACAAAGTGTCCAAGGCACAAGGAGGCAAGCATAAGTCTGAGCTAAACTAAACCCTTAGTCGAAAGTCCAGGAATATAAAGTATCATTTAGTGGTTTCAGTTATTTCCTCTGGAATCACTAGGAATAAAGTATGGTCAGCTTCATCCTCCTCCAGGAAGAAACTAGGGGTTAGGGATGAAAACATTTCAGGGCAGCCCCACAAATTTAGGTGCAGTCAAGACTGTATTCTTGTTAGGTTTGAAAATAGACACAAATAAATGCGGAGAGATGGCTCAGCCTTAACTCGGTGCCTCCCAACTCCCACCCCAAATATAACTACAGAATTCAATTGCATGATGGCTCATTACTGTAACACTTAGACACATTGCGGGCCATACCATATCTTCTGGAAAACAACTAAAAATAGAATGCTCTGATGCAGCCTGTGAGCTGTGGTAATGAGATGTGGGAGAACAAGGCTTCAGGGTCCCGCAGGCAGGACACACACAGGGCCATGCAGTTGGAGTAGGGCTGACTGGTCTCATCCAGTCTAAAAGCTGCTTTGTCTCTTCAGGAAGGCAGGGCTACCGACGCTTGGGTACTGATGCTGCTCAGATGACCAGAACACAGGGAGTCGGCAGACACGCTCTTCTGGGGACTGTGGGAAGCTGATAATCCTCCCACAGGCTAATCAATGACCCCCAGTGTGCTTCGGTTTCAGCACTTCTACATATCTGTGGCTACCCACAGCTACTGAGTGCCTCTTTTGCCACAGATTAAACCCAGCACTTCCTATCATTTAGTTCACTAATGTTCTTTTGTAAAATATTAATTGAAGGTGTATTCTGTTCCCATTACTGTTTTAGGATTTGGAAAGACAGAAATGAAACAGACTGATACGGTACCTCCCTTTCGGGGTTTATCATGGAGTATGGGAGACGAAACAGGATGTATAGTGCAGGTGTAATGTTTCCGGTCACAGGGACAAATCCTGGAGATGAAGAGATGTTATTGAGGCAAAGAGAGTCCTCCTTTCAGCCCTGGTGTGCTCTACTCTGTACGGGTGAGAATCCACTGAAGAACTGGGGACCAAAGCCCCTGACAGTAAAGAGGTGTCCTAGCCAGCTTTACATCTGAGGATATCTCTCTCAGGATCCTTTGAAGTGGTGAGAAGTAGGCAGCTGTGTGTAACAAGAGCCCAAGGCTGTGCTACTCTGTCCCAAGCTAGAGGATTCTTAGGTCCTACCTTGCATTACCAACTGCACACAATTAGATGTGTGAGATCCTGGGTTTCTGTCTTTCCTCTCTACTCATCCCTCCCTCTCACCCCACTCCTTAAAAAAAGTCTTATAGTCATATCTAAAGAAATGTTTTATACATTTCTTAGTGAGGAATCACATGGGGTTAAAACCATATGCTTGTGTTGTTTGTATTCTTTTGTATCTTAAGGTAAATATACAGTTGAGTGCATAGAGATCTCATTCCTGTGTGTGTGTGTGTGTGTGTGTGTGTTTCAAGAAAGCCTTTCGCAGGCACCGTGGCTCACTAGGCTAATCCTCCGCCTTGCGGCGCCGGCACACAGGTTCTAGTCCCGGTCGGGGTGCCGGATTCTGTCCCGGTTGCCCCTCTTCCAGGCCAGCTCTCTGCTGTGGCCCGGGAGTGCAGTGGAGGATGGCCCAAGTGCTTGGGCCCTGCACCCCATGGGAGACCAGGATAAGTACCTGGCTTCTGCCATCGGATCAGCGCGGTGCACTGACTGCAGTGCGCCGGCCGCGGCGGCCATTGGAGGGTGAACCAACGGCAAAGGAAGACCTTTCTTTCTGTCTCTCTCTCTCTCTCTCACTGTCTACTCTGCCTGTCCAAAAAAAAAAAAAAAAAAAAAAAAAGCCCTTCTTGCTAATTTGAGTTCCGGCCACTACAGTTCCAATCTAGCTCCCTGCTAATGCACCTGAGAAAGCAGAGGAAGATGGCCCAATGACTCGGTCCCTGCACCCTTGTGGGAGACTCACATGAAGCTCCTGGCTCTGGCCACTGTGGCCATTTGGGGAGTGAATCAGAAGATGAAAAATTCTCTCTCTCTCTCTCCTCTCTCTCTCTCTCTTTCCCACTCTCCCTCCCTCTCTCCTTCTCTGTCTATAACTCTACCTTGCAAAAAATAAACCAATCTTAAAAAAAAGAAAGCCTTTCTGTTGACACTAGAAAGCCACAATTAGAAGCGTTTGTGGGCGGCCTTTGAAGGGATAACGGGGTGACTGCAGAGGAGATATGGTGGCCACAGTGGCTGTGAGAAGCTGGATCATTACAGTGCTCTTGGAGAGTGAGAGCAAGCATGCCAAGAGTTGCAATGAAGCAGCCTGCTGGGAGCCCACCTCCTGCAAATACTAAAGAGTTTCCATAGAGAACATATTGGTGAAAAGTTAACTACGCACACAGAGTGTGTGTGCACATACAGATATAGATGTGATACATTAAACTTGTTGATTAGGTTCATGCCTCTATGTAGCTGATTGATCACTTGGGGATAAATTAATAATCTCTCTCATCATAAATAGTGAGCCTAGCCATTAGGAAGTAGTTTCAATGAGGCCTTTGTTGAATTAACATGGTATGATAAATGTTACCGAATTGAGTCAGAAAAATGCCTGAACTATTACTCTTAATGGCATCTAAAATGGAACACTAAGTCCTTCTAAATGACCAGGTAATGGCTCTAACAACTCTGCCATGGCTGTGAAATAAAGCCAGGATATGCAGTATAAAAGCCCGTGAACTTCATCCAAGAGGGAATTTTTAATATAGCCCATTTCCACTTAAACTCCAGGATTTTTCTTCCTCGTTCTCGGGGAATTAAGATATACCATCAAGATGGAAGGCTTTTTGTTCTTACTGTCTCAAAGGAATAAAAGAATAAAGTTTTTTTATTTGAAAGAATGTTCTTTTCCTTTGAAAAAGTGTGTTAACAGATATAAAGAGACTATGATTCTGTA